TACAACTTTTTCCTAAATTACTTTGTCAACAAGATGTCCACTGTATCATCATGTATCATTAGATTTTTTCAACCGATCTTCATGAAACGTTGTATGTATGTTAAGTAGAAGAGATCAATGTTAGAAAAATATTTCCTTGATTAAATTTAAACTTTTAAAATGGCGGCCATTTTATTTTTTCTGTGTTAATTTACAAAGAAATTAGCCTACTAATTAAAATTCTAGAACACTTTTCATTAGCATTTAACATTACCTATAAAACAACACAAACTTCATAAGGATTGAAAACTAAATAACAGAAATATCACGATTTTTAGTCGTACATGAGATAAACCTGACTAGCTTAACCTTTATCTACCCCATTTTGACTATATTTACATTGTACTATTGTATATTGGACTATATCATTCCCCGTTCAACACGAGTCCTCATAAATTAGCACTAAAACGTTGATAAACATTATATTATCGCCTTTATTTTGCGCTACATTGAAATCACGATTAAGAATAAAATGTCACTTTTCGAACGTATTTGCATAAGCAACCTAGGATTACAATTCTTCTACTTAAGAATTCAGTTCGGCGAGATCCGGACTTGCAGGTGGCCATAACTTGGTCGCCTCTTTATATTAAAAGCATTCTTCGACTTTCCGTCGCTTCCACGGCAGTGGACATTAAAATATAGCTCGGACGTGACACCCTGAGCTGAATTAATGAGTTCAATTCTGAAATTTCAGAGAATGCCAAAACGTTGTAATAAATCAATGTGTCAAATGCTCTTACATACTTAAACCAGCATGGTACAATAGGACATCTAAATTCATCTAACAACACCTACAACATTATACAGTATCCCAAGAATAAGTTTATAGGTTTGATTTTACTTTACTTCCACCGGAACGAAACCCTAAACATTTTATAGGTTTAAAAATCCATATATAAGTCCCAAAGTACCCATGGACTTTTGAGAAAACTACAAGTCACACCCCTATAAACCATCTACTTAAAATTTTGGTCATGACGAGAAACCTTGCGCAAAACTATCCATATATTTCCCTTTAAGGACGTAATTCCTTTCTAAAGTGAACTTTCTATATACCTAATGTTAAAAATACCTCACCTTTACTTATTTGTATGTTATTTTTTCAATTTATTACCTTTTTAAAATCAAATGTGATTATTTGTTTGTATTTACTGTATTTTCTGTTTTGTTTATTTCAGCTTAGCTCAATCAATAGTTTTATTAATACTCATGAAGTCAAACGGGGTGAAGCCCGTGGGTAACAGCCAGTGTTTTGTAAAATTTCAACTCCATAACATTTGTAAAAAGGAAGCTGTTGCATATTTAACACACTACACTGTACACCTCAATTCTGTATGTATATGCGTAAAGTCATTAGACCCGAAGGGCAAATACTGGGTCCTTGCATTCATCAATATGCTATGTTTATTCGAGATCAAACTTTAGTTTTTAGAAATTCTGACACGAGTATTACAATACAACTTGTCACACCTGTCGGAATTTTATGCCATATGGCGTAGCATGAAAACAGAAACTCCGAACTAGCAACCAGCCAACGAGACCTCTACAATCCGGATCATTGACAATTTCTTTTAACATGTTTCATACAGGGCGGAACTTTTGATGGAAAACGTCTACGGTACTCAACTTGGGATCATGAAACACGCACAACAACCTAATCACTAAAAACTCTTATTGCAAAACTAAATCATTTTTACTATTTTTAATGCAACCGACAAAAACTATATATCCTACAACACAACATAAAACACAAGCTATATATTTACTCCATACGACGTGAGATTGATCGCATTTACAAATTTTATATTTTTATTTCCTTCAAAAATAAATCAAGTCTTGTCAATAAATCCTACATACAAGAGGGGTATGCAGCTCGTTTGAGAAGCTTATATAGGATAGATGGATTCAGGCAAAGCGTCTGTCAGTGGCAGCACCTCTGTATAATTAACTTGATAAATGAACCTTTGAATATGTAGTCTAAAACATTTCATCAAACTCCATCTTCTCCAGAATCCTAGCGAATGAACATTAATAAGACCAAAATATGTAATCTTTGATAAGACGTATACTATAAGTAGATCGTACGAGTTAACAACTTCCATACTCAGACAAACAGCTTATTGTCATTATATTTAACCAATATTTTCACTTTTTATAGTTGATATTATAAGCAGATTTCTAGGTGTTACATTTAATATGCAAGTATTTCCTTTGAAATACATGATTAATGTTGAAATTCCAAAATAATTTAATAAAAAAAATGTGTGCAACGACTTGTTTGCACAGCCATCATAATCACAATTTATAATTTTTTTATCCGTTAAGTTTTTAAGTAGTTATAATTGGGAATTTTTTAATGTGGGTATGCAAGCTTGGCATTTCTATGAATATTTTTTATTTTTTTATTTTTTATAATTATTATAAGTAGGCCTAATCAAATTCTAAATTTCTGAGGTTAGCCTAATAATATGGAAACATAATAATCGATCACCACTTACCATCTGTTTTGTATATTTACCGTCTTCTGAGTAATAGTATAAGCGTAAATATATGTTTTAAGTGTTATAAGACGTTTCTTTTATTTACTTTCCGTAAATTTAATAACACGTACAATGCTCATCAAGAAGTTATTTAATAATACAGTATAGTTAAATGTGTTTTTATGATTGTTTTTTGATTGATGAAAATCAGTTTTAATTTAATGACTATGAGGTATGATATTCTGGATTTCGGGGAGAGTTTTATATTAGTGAATAATCAAACTGTACATTTCTGAGAGTATTGTTAAATTAAACTTGTGTTCACGATGATCAGTGTTCAAACTTGATACTTCCAAGAGTATTATTTAAGTGTTACTGAGTGTATTATCAAGGTCGATTCGTGTTTTTGATTACGATTGATTAAACTCAAAGTTTCATATTGCACAAGTTTGGATCAAACAAACCAGACCACTAAAATAACATCATTTAACGCTTCAGTTTATCCTTACTCTTCCTTTATACGCATTTTGTGCAAGTTTTCATTTTGACCTATTTATACTTTTGATCTAGAGCATAACAGTATACAATATTTTAAGTACCATCAAATTGATATGACCCCTAGCCTTAAATTCTTATACAGCATGGATACAAATAGGATATAACTAAGCTCTTAATTCAATCTATAGAGCATTAATTAAATTAACATCATATCTTATATGATAAGTATTTGCTTTAAGTGGAGATATTTCTCCACTACAAAGAGCATTCCACGCCCTAGGGACCAATAATGTATTTTTATGGTTTACTTATAGATTAAAGTGGTCCAGTTTTCTCCATGCTCATACCAATAATTGATAAATAGGCTTTATTCGAATCTGGGCCTTTTCAGACGGTTCAGGTGCCATGCAGATAAAAGTAATATGATTATGTTTAATTGAATCTTAAATCATTTAAATAATTTTATTTTAACATTAGTTGTACCTTAAATAACGTTAGTTGTAATAATTCTGTCAGTTTTTCTATAGGTGATTCCAATAGTTATTTGTGAAACTAGTGAGCATAAAGGCCTTTTACACTCGTGTTAAACATTATATTTTCCTACAGTCACTATAAAGCATATAAATAATTAGTCTTTCAAACACTATACAACACGTTTTTAGGTTAGGTTAAACCCAAGCCATGAACGGAATGGGAAATACTGCACCAGCCGATTGTAGTCGTATTATCTTTAAGTGTTACTTATTTTCAAGAATATATGTATAAACAGTAATAATCAGTATAAACACATAATAAACAAGTAGATCGTTCTTCGAAATATGCCAATATAGTAGTAAGGCTCGTGCCTTAAATTTTCTACTCGTGTCATTAACACTATCTACGCGAGTTGCGTACACTACTTTACCTACAACGGCGTTTTAATTACTAAAAATCACTACTCATAACTTCTAAGAGAGGTTATGTTTTTGTTTGTAACCTCTCATTGCCACTGACAGTGATTCAACGAAACATTGTATCAATACTAATTGCACCAATCAACAATTAAATTGGTTTGAACAGCTGATTAGTTGAATTTCGAATCATTACAATTTTGCTTCTCCTCTCACAATCCTTGAACCTCATTGGTCCGTTACCCGTGTTGTTATGAGTAAAACTATGCTGTTATGAAAGTAAACAATGCCGTTATGAGATACTTTTTAATTCTAAGAACGTACTGAAACGGCTACTTTAAAAAACGGTCGTAGGTAAAAACATTTTCTGACAGTTTTGTAACTTTCTTACTTACGCGCCAAGAAGAAAACAGTTCTTATGCTCGTTCATACTTCTTTCTTGATTTTTCAGGTAACAGGTATAATAACACATTTTTAAGTTTCTGCTATTTTCTTGCCTACCATTATATTCACAATCATTTTCACCGAGTTCATTATTTTTAGACAATTTAGGCCCACTTATAATTCATCTTTCAAATACTACACTTCAGGTTATGTTCAAACCAAGAGTTGGACGAACATATAAACTATAAACACGAAATGAGGTTAAATCTTAGTTATAATAGTCAATCAGCTGATTATAGTATTATTATCTTTAAGTTTTGCCAACCTATTTCCAAACGTACACGGATTACATGCATAATAAAACCACACTGTTTTGTGTTGTTTGGTTGGAATCCTGATGTGCACCAAAGTACAAACCGTGCGACAAAGTAAAAAATGCTGCAATTAGCAGTTTTCTGTACTATAAACAGTGCAAGGAAGCCATCTTTGTCGGATGACTGTAGGAAAATATATTTTAGATGCATACAGAGTCATATGCTTGAAAAGGTATTTACAGAAATAAACGAGGTATACATGTTGAGTTACTTCGATCCCATGGCGTGAGTTTGTAAATCCATTTTGTTTAACCTAGGATCACTTTTCGCTACAACAGTAAAACTAATGAACCTTTTAATTGTATACAACTGAGATAATCATATAGACTAACCTTGATTCCTAATTGAAGATAAAATTGTCAGGTCTCTTTCAACCACCACCTGTAAAAAGGTAAACAATAAATTATATTCCACCAGTTTTAAGGTTAGATTTTGGCAATAGCAGTATTCTATGACCCTTTTTTAAACTACGGTAAATGTTTTAAACTATTTACTTTTGAGTATGACGATGGAAACAATAATCAAAAGAACATGTTTGACAACCTGACAACATAAATTTAGTTAGATATATTAAAATATATTTTGTTAATGTGAAGAAATTATTTTTACATTAGTTTGGTTTCACATGGATGTAGGTAGGTGTCATATCTAGATATTTAGAAGTCAGATCCCGAAACAGTCACTTGGCTATCGGATAACACAAACAATTATTAGTCTTGTAAACGATTTACCATTGAGATTATCACCAGGTGAGATTATTACAGACTTCGGCAATAGACATTTTGAATTATATATTGTTGGTAGCTATAAAAGTCTGTTATAAGATGAGCTGCAAAAATTGGTTAACTTGGAACAATGATTTGCAAATTTAACAACGCTTAGCGTATATAAATCACATACAATTAAGTACGCTTTATTTAGCCTATTTCATAAACTAACATATTGAAACCCACCTTCAAGACGACCTAAGTGATATCTGTATGTACATTAAACTTGTGATGAAGTCACGACTGAGAGTCCCAATAACAATGAATAAACATCCGAAAGTAACGATTGCATTGTATTGCCTTATTGTATAAGCATCAAAAATGTTCAAAGCAAGTTCTCATATTTCTACCAATCGGGAATTCTGTTATAGAAGAGTAAACAAGCAAATCAACAGAAGCGCTGCTCAGTTTGTGTATAACAAGGCGAGCTCTGTAACAAGCCTGGAATGAGAGAGCGCTTGTTAGCTGGCGCCATAAGGTCCATTGTAGCATATAACGTTACCTAGTTTTCCGGAAAACCCGACCTTACAGCATCCTCTTTCATAACTGCTTGAATGTTTTCCGAGTGGTAACTTACAAACTATTCCACGGTGCAAAATGAGCAACTCAACTGCGATTTTCAAAACTTTGTCGGCCGAAGGTAGACTAAAGCGCTAACGCAATACTAGCTGGAAAAATAAAACGGAATTTTATTTTAAATGTATCTCTGTGTAATTTGCAATCTTTATTCTCTGGTTGATTATTTAACCAAATCTTTCCAAGGGTATAACAAAATTTATTATTTATAAGTTTAAGGAGCTACAATGAATTTGACTGATTGTTTTACTGGTTGAAATTAGAATTATGACCTTTATTCATTACAACTAATAGCCATAGTTTAATTTTGAAATCTACCAATAAATTTAAATATACATTATTTTCAAGATATAATCAACACTAAAGAAATATGACTGATAAGGTTGTGAATGGCCGAGAAGTGAGACTAGTCTATATAGTAACGTCACCGGAAACCAATCCTTAGAGCCTTGGTTCAGATCCCGCAAATCACCTATAATTGTTCGCCATAGACAATTTCCACCATTTTCCTATTATATGTCAACCCCCTCCCTCTTCCTCAATGGTAGTTCGGAGTTGAAGGTCCACCTACCCTGAAGACATAATAGGAAATGTGACTAAAGACTGCGAGAGTGTTCTCCGTATTTGAAAACTGAGTCCACTAAAAGCTATATAGTAAAATTTTTGATAGTCATATACAATGATTTGTGCTAACACACCAGTGCGCTTATTATAATGCCATGTTGAGGAAAGGATGAACGTTACAGTTTAATGAGATTACAGCTTTGCTGCCGACTGTGATCGGCTAGTCTAGTTAATCAAAACTATTATTTTTTTAGGATCAAAATGGCTACCTTCTGATATTGATTATTATATATATATTGTATATATATAATATATATATTAAATATTAAATATTAATATTAATAATATATTATATATTATATATATATTATATATATTATATATTATTATATATATATTATATATTAATAAATATATAATATATATATTGTTGTATATATATATACTCAATGCTTCCGATTACCACCCGAGCACTGAGCACTACATCCACTCAGCTACCCAGCTAGCTCTACACAGGATTTGTAGTTTAGTCAACAAAGACAGAGTCAAATGTATAAACTATTAAGCAATTGTTAAAACCGTACAAACTATAATATATCATTATAATACCCCCCGCCGCAGCAAACCTGTAGACTAAGCGAATTTCCATTTGACTGATTGGATTTACACAGAAATGTCTACTTAAAAATATAACATTTATTCCCTATTTAAATAGAATTAGTTTAACAAGTACTTAGGTTTGCTGCATCAGGGAGGGTAAAACTGTGTTTTTTTTGTGTTAATAGTTAGTAAGAAATAAAAACATTTTCCAAATTTGATCAAAATATGTTCATAAACAAGCAAACTACAACAGTTCACTTATTCTCCATAAGAATAACATGGGAATTTTAAATTTACAATTTTTTGGAATTTTCTCCATAACCATTAGGCGCATAATAACGCTTCAATATACTAAATTATTTGTTTTTTTAAGCTCTACAAAATGGTTTGGAAAGAAATTGCTAAATTGTATGTTCTTTGGGTCAAAAATGGGAAAAACCTATTATTGTGGAGTGTTTGAGTAAATTAATAAAAAATTAAGAGGGAAAAAAATAAAAGTCATGTTTTCAAGAAGAACAGATAGGAATATTTATTTTTACAATATTATTAATCATTTTTATGGTCCCGCGTCCAGGTCTTACCATGAGTACTACGGTAATAGCTTATTCCCTATATGGGAAATTCGCTAAAATTCAATTCAAAAAGCAGTGGAAGTTTTAACAATAACGATCTACTTTATTTCGACAAATAAAAAACTCCATTCTAATACGAGATGGCAATAAATCACGTAACAATAAAGAAGCAACAGCGCAGTGCAACAGTTAGAAATGGCAGATAGTGGCCTGCCAAAGATTGCTGTTTCTATGTTGGCAACACTGAACACTGAACGTGTATGACTTTTCTTCTTTGAGATTCCTATTGCGAAAATACGATTACAATAAAGCTTATATCAATTTGATATTACCAGCCCTGGGTTTTTAACTCACGTTTTTAATTTTTTATAAGTTTAACTATTAGACAATGCAACTAATTATTTTGAAAATATAAAGAGTTTATTTCTTAGAAGATCCTGTCATATTGCATTCATATCTTTTTGTTTTTTTAAATTGCAAACTATGTTTTTCCGTTTTGTACTTTGCAGTTCTAGTCAAGTGCTAATGAAATTATTCTTATAGTCAAGAGTTTCTAAGCTTATTTAAGAAACATATTTTGCTTAGGTACACCAAAACAGTCCAACTCCGAAGGTTCAGTCTCGGCACATAGCATGTGGACGGACAACAACAATGTGAGGCTTTAGGGTTCTTTATAGCTACATGTTTAATTGGTTAGGGGTTCTTGTCTATGTTAACTATCTTTATATATAATTCTGTAAGGCAAAATCTTTACCAGAAAGTTTTGGACGTCTGGTAAGTCGCAGAAAAGTGGGAGGGGTCTTAAATTAAAGGTCTTGACCCCAGGGAAAAATAGCAGAATTTCCATAAAGTTACCAGAAAACGAGATATAACGTAAAATGTTCTCCATAAGAATAGCATTAGAAGCCATTTTCTCCTAATTTTTGTTTACTTCATACAGCTGATCGTGATTTATCATCAAGCCAGTACGCAATGTTAACATTTGGATTATACTTATTTGCCAGTAAGTTCAGCAATGTACTATATAAAACCAGGGATAACGTTACCTATAATAATTAAGACTTTTTAGTTACGTTATATAGAAAATGGAAATATATTATTTTACTGTGAAACTTTTCAAACTTGTGTTTAACAAGAAATAACCACATTGAATAAATAATTAACGAGCTACCTTAATAAACCAGTATTTATTCACAACCAATTATATGTTTGCTGACTTTATAGTGTGGCCTTGCTTTAGCAGAGTTAAATCTATGTAGTGATTCGAATGATTTATTGAAAATAACATCAACAAAGACAAACAACAAACTGTTTTTTTACACAAAAGATATGGCATATATATAGGTGTACCATATTCTGATAATTTGTACCATAATGTTACAATAGTTTGACACTCATACCATCATGTAACCACAATTTCTGTTTAGGTTGGCAATATGCAAAATCAGGCGATATTTCTAATAAAACAGCTCATGGCTATTTCCCGTGACGTCATATCACGCCACCATCACACCACCTTTCCGAACAAGCCTAAATCCCCTCTCCTCACGTCAGTCCACACCATGTATTAGTCCCGTCAACACCGTATACCCTTTGCGGCCCTCTGAGCCCTTTTAAAATGTAACAAGTGTATTTATTACAACGCCCCATCCCTGACCCCAAAACGTACAGTACGATGACGACGTACCGTACAACTGGCGACGAGGAACACGGAATATTATCGCGTTTTAAAACTTAAATTCGCGAACAAAGTGACAGTGCAAGTGAACAAAGTTACAGTGCAAGTGAACAAAGTGACAAGTGAACGTGAAGAAACGGTCGACGAACGTCAAACAACCGCGAATATTGACTCAGACTCATATTCTTGGCGGAAACGTTTTCGTGAGTGTAGAAAGGTACACCTAACATAACGTTATTCTTTGTTTTATGGACGTAATATTAGACTACGGACAGTTAAATAAGTGTAAAAAAGGCACTTATGCCGTTGACTGAAAGTTATTTCGAACAATTCGGAAAGTTAGCGGAAACGTATTTTTCAACAAACATGGCAACAATTGGTAATATCGGTCCTTTTGACAGCGCCGAAGAAACTTGGCAATCGTATACAGAGCGATTTGAACTTTTTGTAGACTGCAACGGGATTAATGCCACAAAGAAAGCGAGCACACTACTAACGGTAATGGGAGTCAGGACGTATAAATTGTTAAAGGACTTAATCACACCGGATAAACCTTCGTCCAAGACGTACGAGGAAATTGTAGACACGGTCGGTAAACATTTACACCCGAAACCGTCGTTTATT